AGTGTTCACCAAATTGACCGCACTCAAGTACTCACAATTTTATTAGCCCTTTCTTCTCAATTTGTCGATCAAGTTCTTGATAAATATGGGAGGGGTCTCGATAAATTCGGCGTCGTTTCGAAAGATGTCTTCCCTGCACCATTTCTTCAATGTTCCAACCTTAACCTTTACTCTGTTCATCAGTTCCCGTAGGTTTACGTCGGCCCTCAGGTCAACCGACAGTATGGAGTCCACTGCGTAATTCGACCGAATTGTGAGCATCAAACAATCAGACACAGAAACCATTAGATCTTACCATTTTCACAGAACCAAGCAAAGGCCTTGCTCTCGTAGACTTCAATAAGTAAAACAATTAGTTCCGCCGTTCGTCGGAGTAGTTCTTCGCAACCCTCCAGAGAGCGAAGATGCAGGGGCCAATTCGGAAGCTCAGAGAACTTCGATGCAACCTTTTGGATCGCGAACAATGCTTGACCGGCGTTGTGCTCATCCACCGGAAGGAGCCCGGCCGATGCGGTCTGTACCTTGGAGACAAAGAGGGACTCGAAATCAGGATCCAGAACGGTAGAATAAAGGCCACTCTTGCTGGGAGAGGGGATAGTTGCAGATACAGGCTCCATTTAGAAGTTGTATCAGATATGGAGGGAGAGAGTGACCGCTGGAGAATGCTCCTTCAATCGATTGCCGTGTGCCGGTTCCAAAACCGGTTTGTCAATTCAAACGGCCCACCAGTGGTTGTGTGCTGCTATCTCAGCAGAGATAGAAGATTAGAGACATATTTTGTGTCTCAGGAAGAAAGGGCTAATAAAATTGTGAGTACTTGAGTGCGGTCAATTTGGTGAACACTAACGTGGCCTAGTTAATTTACCGAGAATCGATCTTGAGCTTTGCGGAGAGTTACGATGTACTGCGCATCGCACATTTCTTCTTCAACCTTCGAGACAACATCCAAGATATGGAAGGGAAAATACTCCCTCACCCCTCTTTTGAACCGAGCATGTGGAGAAGTTATATAAAAAGGGAGCACCCGTTTTCGTTGAATTCGAGAACAAATGACTCCGACCGTCCAGGACATAATCCTCTTGCTACCTCACCGCAAAATAATTCAGACAATGACCAGGTCATGGAAGATGCTGAAATCGACGAGGTTATGCATAAAACCTCAGCGTGCGTTATCACCTATGTCTGGAAAATTGTGGGTATTCCATATTGCATACCTCAACAGGATGGCTTAACTATCATAGAAAAAGAATGTGGCTATTTATGCGATTGATGGCAAGCCAGCGGTCGTCAAGCGCCTCTGTTCGCAATGGGAGCTCGAGGTTCTCCGAGAACTTCATACCATGCGAGCGAAAAACATAGTTCCTCTTGTTACGATCGCTCATGAATTTTCTCCAAGACCCCTCGTGGTCATGGAAAAGTTCGTTGAGATAGTGGGTTGGCCAGTCAGGCCAAGCGAATGTTTCTCCTTTGGCTTCCAGCTGGCAGATGCCGTAAATTTTATCCATTCACGGTTGATTTGCCATCTAGACATCAAACCGGACAACATTGTCGTCAACAAGGCCAATCAAGAACTCTTGCTGATCGATTTTGGCCTTTCCGAGCGTCTTCTCCACAAAGAAGCTATGATCAAGGGCTCGAGAGGCACACCCGGATGGACTGCACCAGAGTTGAATCTCGGCCTATCCTACACCAAAACGGATTCGGGTTCATTACAGGCGGAGTTGGAGGGGGGTGTTGTGTTCCGCGCTGTGTCGGCTGACGCTTGGGCGGTGGGGAAAGTAATACAATGGCTTGTGACAAGACCCTCTTTATGGGAGGAACGTCTTGGGTTACTTCGAGACGTTGCGGCAAAGCTAATGCACGATATTCCCTCTCTGAGACTCGATTTGGGCATAGCTGCTTCCCAAATCATGCATGCTGCCGAGTCCATCTCTAGCGTCAACATATTTGACGCTGTACCGCGAAACATGACTCTTGCATAATCGGCAGAACGCATATTGAGGTGGGCTACATATGGAAGGTTAGAGTGCAAGTCGACGAGCCATCAATTATCACTATTTTATTTCTCAAGCTTTTTGACTTTTTGACGTACATAAACCGTGTTGTACTGTGTTATTGTACATATCACCACCTTGACATGCTTGTCTTCATAACCATGTGTGAGTTTAAGGTCAAAGAGTAGTGGTACGGTGTCGAGCCGGAGCGCAAGTGAGAATATTGTTACCAAAATGCTTATCTACGTAACGGGAACTCTCTCGCGTAGTATATTCGGCACCCCGGATCAGCGCCGCTGTATCGCTTCGCTTTTGCCGACCGACCGACTAATTAGAACTCGACCACTTCGACCAACATTTTATCAAAGTCGTAAAAATGGCCGTCT